TATATATATATATATATATATATATATACACACATTCTATATATATATATAAGCTGTCACAGGCTGTTGGACATTAGTCTAACTGGCTATAATACCCATATCAGTTGCTCCAACACACATGAAACTCCCACCCCATCACGTATGCAAAGCTTAGTTTTCAAAGTTAATTTTGAAAGACATAACCAGCATTCACATTAACTGTATCCTTTCTGCTATGTTCGGTCCATGAACCAATATAAGCCAATAATTGTAATACATTGCATATCAGTCAGATTCTTTCTAAGATTCTAGTGAATCTACCCTTAAATAATTTTGTGAGCACGTTTACCATAACTGCTTGGATGATATAAAAGACAAAGTGGTATAGTGTAGTAGGTTTGGGTACAAATACCCTGGGATTTACTATCCAAATTCAGGTACTTGCTAATTTTGGACGTTAGAGAAAAATTATTTAATCCTGTGGCTTCAGTTTCCAAATCTTTAAAAACGAGGATAGCAGTTATTAAGCTTTAAAGCTCTGCAGTGAGGGGAAAAAAATCTCATTATAGATATGTGTGCATGAGAAAAAGCTACAAAGAGTCATAAAAAGGTAAGGCAATTATCTTCTTAAAACACATTATAGCATGATCTTCAGAAGGAACAAGCTGCATGCAGTGTACTGACCAGGGGCCTCCTGTTCAGTGGAGTCTGGGAAAAATCTGCACACCGGTTCAGCATGGCTTCAAGCAAGGCCCGCAGTTCCCTATACTGCACAGGGAGAGCACTCTGGTGGTCCTTCCTGCAGCCAGAGAGACAAAGGCAGGCTTAGGGTAAGGTAAAGGTAGTCCAAGATACCCTCAGGTTCTCAGGCAAGGGGGCGGGGGGCAGTGTGATGGGTCCAGGATTTGATCTGATAAAAATACTTGTTCCAACACTTGTCTAGCTGCATGACTTTGTGCAGATTCCTCATCCTCCCTAACCCTCAGTTTTCTCATCTATTAAATGAGAGATCATAGTACTTTCCTCATAAAATTATTTTAAGGATCAAATTAGATAAAGCACTTAGAATGATGCTTAATAGATAGTAAGCCCTTATAAATGGCAGCTATGACTATTATTGTTGTTATTAAGTAGACAGGGTTTTCTCACAGAGAAGAACCTCCTGGTGAAGAAGTATTATCTAGAACTGAAGGTGCATCAAGAGATGTATATGGCCACTGTCCTCAACTTAGTGATAAGCTCTTTTGGAGAAGAGAGATCAAATTTGCTCTGTTACCTTGATAAGAAAACCACAATCAACAGGTAAATGTTATCAGGACTCAGACTTTATTTCAGAATAGGGAAGAACGTTCTAAGAGTCAAACTCTATAGAGGTAAAGGGGAAAATCTAGGAGGAGTGACTCCCCATTCTTAGAAACTATAAGCAAAAACTAGAAACTACTTTGGGAGATTCAATCATTGTGAGTATGTGATAAATATAGAAAGTAACACTTAGGGTCCATTTGAGTCTTCATATTCCATAGATTCAGGAAGGCAAGAGTCATTGACTAGTCTAATTGTAAGCTCTAAGAGGCCAGAGTCCAGCTACCTAAACAGAGCTAGATGCATTATAAACTGATGATAAATTTTAAAAAAGATGTTAAATGAATGAATGACTACTTGACAGGGTATAAGGTAGCTGCATTTGTTGCCTAGGGATGCTGTAACAAATTGCCACGAACTACATGGCTTAAAACAACAGAAACTTGTGCTCTCATAGTTCTAGGGACCAGAAGTCCGAAATCAAGGCGTCGGTTCCCTCTAAGGGCTCCAGGGAAGAATCCTGCCTTGCCCCCTCAGCTGCTGATGGTTGCCAGCAACCTTTGTCATCCTTTGGCTCACAGCCGAAGTCACATTTCTATGTCTTCTTCACATGGGTACCTTCCCTCTGTGTGTGACTGTTACTATATGTCCGAATCTCCCTCTCCTTATAAGGGCACCAGTCTTTGGATTTAGGAGCTCGTACTGTGTGACCTCATTTTAATTCAATCAAAGGCCCTATTCCCAAATAAGGTCACATTGAGAGGTTATGGGTGAGCATGAATTTTAGAGGGGTGCTATTCAAACCAGCACGGTAACTCAGGAGAAACCTATGTTAACCTTCAGCCGTGGCCCTTTTTTGAACACTGACAGTAATCTGTTGGGCTTTCTAACAGGCACTCAGTTCACTGCATACAGTTAAGGCTTGATTTCCCTTTTTTTCTTCACTTCTAGGAGCTCTACGCTTCTACCCTACACTGATTGTCAATCCCTAGTTCTGCCATCTTTAAATTCTTTTCAGCAATTCTCCCTCCTCATTCCTCCTTCCAGTTGTGCTTCCCAGAGACCCACTGAACCACACTCTCCCTCAGAGGGAACACCTCAGTAAACCTTCTAGGAAACTAACATGAAAAGTAAAATCACCTTAGGATTAATAACCGCCTCCTACCTAGCACTCTCCACAATTCTGACCTACTCAGCTTTCCCAGCTTCTTCACGCACTACTCCCTTCACACAACCTGCTAGCTAGACTAGCTACTGTACCCTAAGTAATCCCTATACTTCCCCCCCCCACATGGTCCTTCCACAAATCTAAATCTCTCTCATCATCCACCTCCTGCCTGAAAGGAGCTACCAGTCCCCTATAACACTAGCCTCCTGGGAGACCTCCAGTTCTGCATGAACACCTCTAATTGACACTGCTCTTATTCTGTACCTTTGTTACTCTGTTGGTTTCTCATCTCACCCTCACTGAGATTCATGCCCCAGATTTAGAGATTCAAATCCAGGAAAGGACAAAGGGGAAAAAGAGACAGACTGAAGTCATTGTAATATAAATGTTATTTTTTGCTTCCATTTTTAGAACCAACCTAGAGTCAAATCACAAAGACTTCAATATAGTCACAAAGAGACTATAAATATTAACCTTTACCATGTAAAATTAAAGGTATAGCTGGCTGACATTGAGAAGTAGAAGGTAGAGAGAAGAGGAGAAAGGAAAAGTTGTACGCTAATATACTCAGCTAACCAAGTGGGGAGTCAAGAGAAAGCTCTTCAAGTTGAGGGAACAAGAAATACAAGTTTTAAGTATACTATTTAAAGGTTTGAAAACATAAAATATTATGTTGGCAAAAATGCCAAGGAAATGTAGAGAAGACAAAATAACATGAACTAAATCTTGGTCTTTCTTACTGGTGATTCAATGAATAATGTCCTAAATTGACAAAGTAGCACCATTATAAGCATATTGTTTAGATGTAGGGAGATAATCACCAGAATTAAAACCAAAATGAATTAAAGTTAGTTTCCTTTAGGAAGTGGGGACAGGAGACTGTTCTTTTCCATTATATACCTGTATATTTTATTTTTTTATTATTTGAATATATTACTTTGTTAGAGTTTTAGAAGGGAAAACATGGAAACAGAATTTATTCAAGTTTCCTCCATTACTTTTTTTTCAAGATATCCAGCATCTTTCTAAGTTATAATTTCCATCCTGACCCTAAGATCTCTTAGTCTTACCATCTATTTTGACATCCTTCATTTATATACTATCTTCCAGAAATGAGGCTTATAGTAGTAAAAAAAACTGACATGGTCCCTGATCTTCTGGAGATTATTATTATAATGAGGAGAGACACAAAACAAAAGAATAAACAAGAACATCAAGTGTTTGATAGGTGCTATATAACAGCCTAATGGATTAGTTAGGGAAGGATGCTCTGAATGCGACCTGAATGATAATGGGAAGAAGCCACTCATGCAAAGATTTTAGGGAAGAACATTTTAGGCAAAAATAACAATTAGTAGAAAGGAAGTAGGAGAAAAATCTTGACTGAAAGTTTTAAAAAATTACATCCATGAAATAAATAGAATAAAATGCTATGTAAAGACATGCAGATGGGGTGTCTGGCTGGCTCAGTGGAGTATGCGATTCTTGATCTCAGGGTCATGAGTTCAAACCCCACATTGGGCATAGAGCTTACTTAAAAAAAAATTAAGGGGTACCTGGGTGGCTCAGTTGGTTAAGCATCTGATCTTGATTTCAGCTCAGATCATGACCTCATGGTTTGTGGGTCCAAACACCACATCAGGCTCTGTGCTGACAGCACGAAGTCTGCTTGGGATTCTCTCTCTCTTCCTCTCTCTCTGACCCTCCCTCACTCATGTGCTCTCTTTCTCTCAAAATAAATAAATAAACATTTTTAAAATTTAAAAAAATGCAGAGAATTGGAAAGAACTCTTCCAAATTAAATATGAAAGCAGAAATAAAACACACAAATGAAGGGCTGAAAGATAAAGTCAATTGGGGCACCTGGGTGGCTCAGTCGGTTGAATGTCTGACTTCAGCTCAGGTCATGATCTCACAGCTCGTGAGTTCGAGCCCTGCATCAGGCTCTGGGCTGACAGCTTAAAGCCTGGAGCCTGCTTCAGATTCTGTGTGTGCATCTCTCTCTGCTCCTCCCCCGCTCAGGCTTTCTCTCACTTTTT